CACACGCCAAGGTTGCCCACTCTCCCCTTTATTATTTGCAATAACTCTGGAACCGTTTTTAGCAAATATAAGAGAAAATAATGACATCCATGGTGTAGCTATAGGAAACAATAAACATAAATACTCAGCTTATGCTGATGACATATTATTCTATATCCAACAACCTGCAATATCTATCCCAAACTTATTAAAAGCATTCCGGGAATATGGAGTGCTATCAAATTTTAAGATCAATCTGGATAACTCAGAGATATTAAATATTGGCCTGCCTCATAAGGAGGTGACCTTGTTGGGCTCAAGTTTCCCTTTCAGGTGGCAGACTAAGAAACTGAAAATTCTGGGGATTAATTTAACCCCTCACCAGCAGGAGCTTTTTGACTATAATTATATCCCACTCCTGAATGATATTAGGAAGGACCTTCAACAATGGTCCACACTACGTCACTCGTGGATTGGAAGAATAAATGTAGTCAAGGTGAATGTCCTGCCAAAGTGTTTATTCTTTATATCAGATGGTCCCCATTGCCTTGTCTAATAATTTCTTTAAAACCTTTAACAAAATGGTATCTAAATACGTGTGGGGAAGGAAGAAAGCGAGAATCCCATATAAGACCCTAGAGAGAGCTAGATCACAAGGTGGGCTAGCACTGCCAGATTTTAAACGCCATTATCTAGCGGCAGTGCTGACCAGATTACTGAACTGGCACTACGATAGGACAACTAAACTCTGGGTAGATGTTGAGTTTGAAATATGTAAAGTAGACCTGAGTATAATTAGTTGGTTACCGAAGGAACACAGGGGTACAGCAAAGGAGTGGCACCACTTAGTAGTAAACACCCTGGTGGTATGGGACTTACTGCATAAAAAAGCCGGGTGGAGTTACAGCTCACCTTTAATGCCACTGTTGGGTCACAATTATTTCCAACCAGGAAACTTAGATAAAAATGTTGGTGACTGGACAGAGGAAGGTGAGCTACGACTGCATCATGTGATGGACCAGGAGAGGATAAAACCACTAGCGTTATTGTGCCGTTCTCCATCACCATCTATGATGGATAAGTGGCGCTACCTGCAATTAACCCATTTTTTGCAAATACTACCTAAACCAATTAGATCAATGGATCAGTTAAACCCAATAGAAGTGATACTATCAGGGACATCATGCCCAGGGGGAAGTATATCATTGTTGGCGAAATTTTTGTCTCAACTGGATACTGTACAGAACCCAGGGTTTTTGTCACAATGGGAAGAAGATCTAGGAATCCCCATATCAGAACAAGGGAAACAGAGTTTTGCAACGGGCATGCAGGACTTCAGTATCATCCTGTATAGAAGAGATGAATTACAAACTCCTGTCGAGATGGTACCTCACACCAGTAAGACTACACTCTATGGACCCTAACAACTCACAATTATGTTGGAGAGGCTGTGGAGGGAGGGCAACAATGGCACATATATGGTGGCACTGCCCCATTATTAACAAATATTGGGGGGAGGTGGGCAGGATCATCTCCTCTATACAGGGAACAACCCTGAGTATGGACCCCTTAGTAATTCTGTTCCATAATAGTGAAGGGTCACTATTCTAAAATGTCTGATACCAATTTATTGGAGGCGTATAGAACCCCCTCCAATAAAGGAATGGTTTAAAAAAACAAATCATATATGCTCTATGGAAGAACTGTTTCTGAGAAGCCAAAATAAGTATATAATGTTTTGTGAGATTTGGCAGGGATGGTTCCAGTATAGGAAATCAGAGGAGTACTTATTAATGATGTCCTCTAATAACTAAGGAAATAATCTACTGACTCACCTGTATCCTATGGGATGGCTCCATAACTTAATTATATAAAAAGATGAGAATAATGACAGGTTAGAATAGGATGCCATAGTGTGTTTATTGTTTGTATCCAGGAACTAAAAGAAAATAACCTCTTATTTCTCTAAGTTCTAATTAGCCTAGAATAGCTTTTTGCATAATAGGGCATAACCCAAAAAATTAAGCACGTATGGGAGGGAGGGTAGGATGTATTGAGTAGCACTATTTATATGATTTACTCTGACGCTAGGGTTATTCTGATAAGAATTAAGGATATAACAAGATATACTTAATAATAATTTTTATATAGATATATATATCACCTCACTATGATTAGTAAGGGAAGTTTGTTTTGTAAGACGATATAGGACGGGAGAAGCACAGAATATTAGGTTTATAGAGCAGTGATTAACCCATGACACTAAACCACCAAACTCAATTTATAAGAATTTATACAAAGATACACAGTATCACATTTTGATTAACATAGGACACTTTTTTTTTTCGTACTAGGTCACAATATGGGGGGCGCACAGAATATAGGGATTGTAAAGCAATGAGTCATGACAAACACTAATACACTGATTTGTAAAGACCTGAAAAACTAAAACTAAATATAATAGGTAGTAAATGATAAGAGTAAATTGAAATATATAATTCGCATTAAGAAGAAAAAAAAAAAAAGATAAGCCAGCACTATACAGATATAGACTAGGCTATGACTAGTAGGAAAAATATGGAGGTTAGAAGAATTTAAATCAATAATTGTGTTATGTCTCGGTTTTAATGTTGGTATTTATGAGATCATGTCAGTTTGTGTCTTAATGTTAATTGTTTAGTTAAGTCATGTATAATGTCTGAAATGTAGACTTTTGTGTGAAAAACTTAATAAATATATTTATAACAAAAAAAATAAAATGTCCTTCCCTGTCGTGCGCGCCGTCCAGTGCGTGCACGAGTGGGAAAACTGCTCAAATTTCAAACAGCCTGCAATGACTGTTTAAATACAAGCATTCCGGTGGCTGTAGAGCCGCCCGATCGCTTGTATTTTGCCTGGTGCGGGCCCATGACGGGCACGGCAGCTCTGTGACCGAAGATCAGAGGAAGATCAACACACGTTCTCTGAATGCAAGAAGTGCATCTGCACTCAGCATGTACTTCTGCATTCAGCTGTCATTCCCGGCTACAGAAGCCGGAGAGAGGCCGGTGAAGCAGATCTCTGCTTCATCAGCTTCTTTGGGGATCCCTAGGTGTCACTAGGGGTCTTAAAGGTCCCTGATGTCTCCATAAAGAGGACATGTCACTGTAAATTGGCTATCACAAAGGGGGCTTGTTAGCCGCCTATGTGATAGCAATAAAGTTAGGTGTAACACTTGCTGCAATGAACACTTGCTGCAAGTTATACTGAATACACATTAGATGAAAACATGTATTCATGTAACAGAGTAAACCTTTCCCTGCTATCTATTGTTTTTTGTTTTTACTCTGATATCGGAGCCTCCGTCAGAGTGGGGTAAAAAGACAGCATAGAAATAAATAGCTAGATTGCTATTGGCTATTTGAATTTGCAATAGCCAATAGCAGGCTAGCTATTGCACCCGCCCACTGCTGCTGTCAATCAGCAGAGGTGGACCTGAAGTTCTTCATCAGGTCCTCTCTCTGCTGATTGGCAGCAGCAGAGGGCGGTGCAATAGGCAACTTGCTATTGCAAATTGAAATAGCCAATAGCAATCTAGCTATTCATTCCTATGCTGGTTTTTTTGTTGTTATTATTCTGACAGCAGCAGCTGTCAGAATACTAAAAAAAAAAAAACCCAGCAGATAGCACGGGAAGCATTAGCTTCTTTGCTATCTGCCATCATTTCAGGCGGAAAGGAGAAGGGCACCTCCCTGAAATTACTTTTTTCAGGTTGGGATCCCTGTACTGTCCATGTATAGTTGAGATAGATTTGTGCAAATAAAGCTTATCATTTTTTCAGATTTACACATCTAAAGTTGAGCTGTGCCCTCCCCCTCCTTCTCCTCCATGCCTGCTGGGTCTCTGTGACACGCATCGGGGGGAGGGGAGGGGGAGATCACATAGGAGGCACACACACTGATGGCTTCCAGCTTGTCACTTCACAATACAACAACTCATACTGTGAACGGATAGCCAGTCTCCCCACCTGCAGTGCAGCGGTTCTTTTCCTGTCTGCCACTCTGGGCGAAAGGGACAGCTGCTGTGGGCCCCTGTAAATTATGGGGCCCAGGGCAGTTGCCCCTTTTACCCCACGTTAAAGACGGCCCTGCATACCTGTATGTTGAATCACTCAGAGACCATAAACCATTTCGCCTAAATAAACCTATTTATGAATTGGCACACTTGCTAGTGTTTTATAAATAAGTGTTTATGCAACTAAATGACATTTTCATTTTATATACAACATTATCGTATTTATGCCCATCTCCTGTTTAAGCTGCTATACATTTACAACTGAAGTATAAACAATATCAGTCATTGGGCAATCAGTGAAGACTAATGCTGATATTTAAAGAGAATCTGTAATGAACAATGTTACTCATAATTATGCTGTATTGGTTTGATTTCACTACTGTATACCTAGTATGCATCCTTGGAGTCAGGAATGATAGTTTACTTTTAATGGCACCCTCACACAAGTTTTAATGACTTTTAATCTCAGTTAGAATTATGTGAGACTTTGAATATTCAGTCCAAATTATGAGAGCAATAATCACTTAGCTCTGACTGTGATTTATATTTGTTCCCGAATTGAGATTTACTTACTCTCTAATCTCTTATATAAAGCTGACACTTTGCTCTGACCATGGTCCATTAAGTCACTTGCTCCCTGTTAACCCTCTAACTGTATGCTGATAACAGCTATGAGCAGTGCTGGGCCTAGGTCCTTTAGCACCTAAGGTGAAAAGGCCAAAGTACATCCCAACAACCCTTTCATGGGGTGTGAACTACCTCAGCAGCACAGGTTTCAGGCCCTGCCCTTTTTGTGCCCACCTCATCTGCCTACCCTCTCAGCCTAGCCCTGGCTAGGTATTTAGTAACTATGCCACAGCTAAACAACATGCATATCATGTTAATCCTTGTTCTTTCCCCAAAAAAACGAAATGTTTGTTTAATATTTTATTTTTGCAATGTTTATTATTATTTTTATTTTTTTCTAGACCTTATGTATGTTCACACCAACTGGAACAAAGGGTGGACAGACACAGTTAACACCTGCTGGACCAGTTGAATATGGCACTACAATATCTGCACATGTAGCCAAATCCAGAAACACTTTGTTGGTAGAAGATAATATTGGCGTAAGTTTCTTATTTTATTGAATGTTCACTATATATAAAAATTGTGTGTGTATATGTATGTATGTATGTATATGTGTGTGTGTATATATGTGTATATATATATATGTGTGTGTGTGTGTGTGTGTGTGTGTGTGTGTTTAAAAAAAAATCTCATGGGTAGAATGCTTGTTCAGGCCTGGCTACTCCCCTTAGTAGCCAGATGTAGAAGATGCAGTTATTTGATGGTAAAGCTAAGTGGCTTTACAGAAGGAATTTTTTTATATTTTGTAGTGTGTACGCATTGTAAAGTTAAACATGAGAATGGAGAGAAGTCACACAAGGACTAATTTATAAAAAACAAACAAAAATTGTTTTCTTTTAATAGCAGAGAAAGAAAGAGCAAGTCTGTATGTGGAAGAGGAAAGGGGATAAGATGTTGGAAGTTTTCAGTTTGTATTCTTATTTTACAGGGCTATGGAGACCATAAATGGAAACCATTTGTTAGATACACAAATGATTACTGAATCTGTCTCCCCCCCTCTTCCTTTGAATAGAATGCTATTGACATTAAGAAAGGGGCTACCAGCAAAGAAGAGGCTGGAGGCAGATTAAATGGTAAATCATAGGATACAAGTAAACATATAGCAACAAAGATTACATTTTCATAACAGTAGTTGTGGTTTGCTATTACAAACAACCTATTTATCTCTGCATTGATAAATCTTATTGACAGACAAATCCGCAAGTCTGTGATTAGGTTAGCTGTAGACAAGATCATGTCTTTCTTAAAAGCAACAGATGTGGATACATCTGCCTGCCATGTATTTAATTAGTAGCCACCACTGCCACTCACCGATTCCCGTTTCTTGATATCGAGTACAAGTACTGATATTTTTTAAAATTTTTTAATCGGTACTCGCCGATACAGAGAACCAATAACGGTATTCAGAGGTAGCGTGGTCAGGAAGCCAGGCTATCTTGCAGTGTCGCTAGGCAGCGTGAAGCTGGCTTCCTAGCCAAACAGGGAGGCGGGTCATGGCCTGTCATTTGGCTTCCTGATTGGCCAGGAAGCCAGCTCCATGCTCCCTCACGGTACTGCCGGTCAGAGGGAATTTCTCTCGGACTGGCAGTTCAGGTATCAGGGTAAATATCGGAGCATTTGGACGAGTACTGTACTTGCCCAAATGTTCAGTACCAGCACTGATATAGGTGTATTACTAGACAAAAGCCACACACACAAATAACTTAATTTGTGTTTTTTTCCTACTCGGTGGCGCAGTGAGGTTGTACAGAGACTTTGCAACAATTTGTAACATCTACCTGAGTAATAATAATTAATGCTTTCAACATCGCAAACACTTGAGCCCCTAGTGGTACCCCTAAGTGGCCTGATCCTTGCACAAGTGGGATCAGTGCAAGATCAGGCTTTAGTGCCAGGTTATACTTTATTACTTTCTTTATTACTTCTGAATTATATGCATTTTAGTATTTCAACTAGAACTAACTTATTTATATAATTAAATTACACTCAGTAACTTGTTTCTTTTATATAATGATTTTGGAATTGTTAATTGTCTGTGCATTGTTGCATTATATTTCAGGATGAACGATTCCCAAAAGGTACTGGGCTGGACTCAGGGACTCGTATCCAGTCTGTTCTGTGCTTACCAATTGTTACAGCCATTGGAGATCTTATTGGAATTTTAGAACTTCATAGGTACAGGGGAAAAGAAGCCTTCCGCCTGTGTCACCAACAAGTAAGCTGGGAATAATTGTTCTAGGTAGTGGATATCCTTATATGTACAGCTAGCTCTCTTTGAATACCGACTTTAATATAAATTTCGCAACTAATTAGGTTAATTGGCAACAGGTCATTTAACATGATTGGGTATCAAAAGATCATCTTAAAGCCGGTGTCTCAGAAGTAAAGATGGCCAGAGGTTCACCAATCTGTGAAAAGCTGCATCTATAAATTAATAAAACAGTTTCAGAATAATGTAATAATGTAAAGACTTTAAATATATCATCTACAGTAACAATAAGTTAAAGCGCTATCATGCAAAGAAGTTATATCTAAACATGATCCAGAAACGCCACTGTCTTCTCTGGGCTGAAGCTCATTTGAAATGGTCTGTCACATAGTGGAAAACTGTTCTGTAGGCAGACAAATCGAAATATGACATTCTTTTTGGCAACCATGGGCGCAGGGCCGGCCTTAGGTCTTTAGGCGCCCTGTGCGAGAAAGCTTTACAGCGCCCCTCAGTGACCACACCCCTCAGTGGCCACACCCTTTAGTGACCACACCCCTAGTAACTACACCCATTAATTACCCATATTTTTGGTAAAATATAAAAAGCGGGGTCACGTCGGGTAAATAGACACCAAACATGTCATGCTTTAAAATTGCGCGCACCCGCGAAATCGAAAAAAACTACCATGCCCAAAATTGACCATAGGTGACGCTTTAAAAGCTTTTACCGCTCATCAGTTTAGTGTTATCAGTGATTGATAGCCCTACAATTATTGCTCTCATTCCGACGGCGATATGTAACTTGTGCGGCGTAATGGGCGAAATCGTCGTTTTCACACGTATGAGCACCCGACGCCTGTTTGCATGCGTGTATGTATGGGGGGGACTTTAAAAAAATGTTTTATTCTTTTTTATTTGTAACTTTAAATTTTTTAGCCGCACGGCGCCCTTCTTGCCATGGCGCCCTGTGCGGCCGCACTGCTCGCACACCCCAAAGGCCGGCCCTGCATGGGCGCAGCGTTCTCTGAAAGAGGAGAGGGACATTCTGGCTTATCAGCACTCCGTTCAAAAGACTGCATCACTTCTGGTATGGAGGTTCATTAGTGTGTATGGAATGGGCAGCTTGCACATCTGGAAAGGCACCATCAATGCTGAAAGATATATCCAGGTATTAGAGCAGCATATGCTCCCATCCAGACAATGTCTTTTTTAGGGAAGGCCTTTCATATTTAAGCAGGACTATGCTAAATCACATACTGCATTTTGTATTGGTTTGTCTACTTCAGCAGTATCTTTTTCCAACAATTCAGCTCCATATAGATACAAATTTTAAGAAAGGAATCAATATTTGGATACCGTGGTGTTGAATTTATTTCGTATATACATCTTTTGGAAGTACAAACTTTTCCAAAAATTATTATAATTTTTTTTTTTATTTACCAATTTTCAGGTGTCATAGTGATCACTACCACCTGAGCATCATGTTCAGTGATCCCCATCTTGTTTGATCCAATGTGTGTGTTCTATATGCTGCTTTTTATATGAATTAACCATTTACTTGAGTTTCTTGCATAGATATTGCATTGATCATCTATGTAGGATACACAGAGTAGCTTTTCAGATCATATGAAATGTAATCTTGTTTTTAAATATTTTTTGTTAATAAATTTTGCTATTTTTATAGATATTAGTTTGTGTGTTATATTTTTCCCAGGGAGTGTATCCCTTTTGGGGGATGTTTTTTCTTTACTGCATATTCAGGGTTCCACGCTCCTTGGGAATACAGGTGAAACTCGAATAATTAGAATATCGTGCAAAAGTAATTGCAGTATGTGCTGCAAAAGGGGCCCAAACCAAGAACTGAGTACATATGCATGCTTGTACTTTTCAGAGGGCCGATATTGTTCTATGTACAATCCTTGTTTTACTGATTGCATGTAATAATCTACTTTTTTGAGGTTGTGGATTTGGGGTTCGTGGGGTTTTCATGAGCTGTAAGCCATAATCATCCCAATTATGACAAATCACGGCTTGAATTATCTTGCTTTGCATGTAATGAGTCTATCTCATATATTAGTTTCACCTTTTAAGTTGCATTAGTGAAATAAATTAACTTTGCACGATATTCTAATTATTCGAGTTTCACCTGTATATATGAATATTTTGAATTTCCGAGGTCTGGATCACTTTGGTTTCCCCCGAAGTAAAGAGAGTTTCATTCTCTTTAAGTAGGTAAAGAGATGTTTTCTGCACTGCTCATTCTTTTTGAGCCACTACAAAAAACTTATTGTAGAAATATAATCTTGGTGTGTTTTTCTGAATTCTGAAAAGTATAATTTAAATTCTACCTTCCTGTACCTCTTTGCTGTCCTTGAGATAAAAAACTTGTTTTTTTTCTTTTCTACCATAGCCCAATATAAAAAGTAAAGGTGTACTTTACTATAATTTATCTCTGATACAGGGTTAATATCCTCAGACTGGATATCCAGAAAGGCATTTCAGACTCTCTTGATTTGTTTCAGACAGATTTCCAATCTAGGCACAATAAGCAGGTCCTGACTTTTTCCTTTTTTCCTTTGCAGTCAAAGCAATACTTCTTGCTTAAAACTGTGAATGAGCAGCAGCTCACTGATTAGGTCATTTTTTTTCCACTGAGCCGAATTTGTTGCTTTGAATGCTGAATTACTAGAAATTAAGGAAACAAATACAATTACAGACTGAAGTACTTTTAAAACATTAGGGATTTATAACGGTATTATTCATATTTCAAACAGACACATCACATTTTCTATAATAGAGGAATTGTACATTCCTTGTACAGTGTTTTTCACAATCTCTTTTGAGAGTCGCAGCACCCATTAAAAAGTATGCAAGATCTCGAGGCACCCTCTGATGTAAAAAAAAAACTACATGTAAGAAATAAGTGTGGTCCTACTTTTAGGGGTCAAATATGGGTTCTAAGTGGGCACCCTATGCAAAACAAATGGGGGGATCCCCAGTGACATCAGAAGCCTCCCCATCACATTAGAATCTCCCTTTCACATCAGAAGCCCCCCTTCACATCAGAAGCTCTCAAACTTGATGGCGGGGTGCTCCTCAGTTCTCCCCCTTGACTTGCTTTTGTTTTATTTGGCAGGTGGCAACAGCAAACCTTGCATGGGCTTCAGTAGCAATACATCAAGTACAAGTAAGTAGGAATATTTAATTGCCAGCTGAATTGAAAACATGATATAAAGCCCAACTTCAGCCACATTTTTTTCTGTTTTGAACAGAATGGGAAAAGAATAGATGCCCTTATTTCTTGCCCTGATGTTGAAGGCTGTTATAGGGAAAGGTAGTGAGGTGGGATTCCCAAACATGGTCATGAACAGCAATAAATAAAAACTTGACCAAATATTTACAAAAAAAAAGTTTTGGTTAAAGTTGGGCTTCAACCCTTATATGCGTACTTACACAATAGAGACCCTTCTTGCCCATAGGACTGGTTGGGGGAGCCCCACAGTATCACTGCTATTACCTTAACATCATACTGCAATCCCTCTTCGCCCTAATGGATTGACCACCTCACCTTTCACATACTCTAATCGGTAAACTTCCAGAAAACAAAAGATATCGGTTGCTATGCGCTTCGACCATACCTGTTTACAACCAACATACCTTGACACAGACAATTTTGGTGACCTTGTAGTTGGTAAACACACCACACCCTACCATTCCCTTCCCTCCTCCTCCCCTCCCTTATTATCCTGGCTCTCATGTCATCTTGTTTAATTGCAGTTACCTGTTACTATAGAGATGTATTCTCGGAAAATTTTATGCATCTATTGCTGTTTGGTTATGCAGGTTTTCATGATATTAGTTACAGATGCTTATATGACGTAACTGCCTTGGTGGTCGGTTGTCCCACAGATTATACTTATCTTGTATTGATCCTGCATTGACTACTGTATGTTATGTATCATAAATACCACAATAAAGAAATACTTGCTTAAAAAAAAAAAAAAGTTGGGCTTCAAAGTAGAACTCCAGGAAAAAAAAAGTTTTTAAAATTGACTGTGTAAAAACAAGTTAAAGAGAAATTTTATACTAATTTTAAAAACTTAGGAGCAGAAATAATTTTTATGGTAGAAGAGACAAACTGTGGGGGGGGGATTTATGAAAGCAATTGCGAGTTTTCATTCGCTTAGATATTTTTTATCTGTTTAGCTTCTCCTTTTAACATGTATGCCTGTTTTGACCAGAGCTTGCACTATTTTCCCTATTGCATGTGTTTTGCGCATGTTTTTCAAAAGTTTGCAACTGTTTACATGTGCACTTGTCCTGCGGCTGTCTGAAGCAGGAGCATCACCTAAGAAAACGTATTCCAGGATCCTGCTGCACTCTTTACCAGGTATCCCTGTCAGCATGGGTGCTGTAAATGACCGTGGATGGCGCAGCTAATACTGAAACTTGTTAAAGATGTCACCAGCACATTATATTGAAGTAAAGAACACGTCTGTTTATTGGCACGTCATGCCAAAACAAATAAAGTTACGGGGCCACACAGGGTCCCCTTCATTAGGCTTGAAATGACGAATTAATGTAATTTCAAGCCTAATGAAGGGGACCCTATGTGGCCCTGAAACGTTATTTGTTTTGACATGAAGCGGTAATAAACAGACTGTTCTTCACTTCAATATGGTGTGCTCGTGACATCGTTAACAAAGTTCACCTAAAAAAACAATCGCAAACTTAAGCCCCCATGACTGCTTCTCCAAGAAGCAACAGTTAAGCTTTTTGCCTAAAGTTGCGAGTCTTCTTTCCTGGAGTCAAATTTATGAACAACATTACACTAGCAGCATAAATCTGGCACAAATATATCCCATGCAACCATATGCAAATTCAAACACTCGCAATTTCTATGATAAATTCCCCCCTATGTCTCTTTTGCAATAAAGGCTGCTTACTTTCCTCCTCACAAGATGCTTTAGAATATGCACTGAGCTGTGCATGCAACCCGGAAGAAGCTAGGGAGAAGATGTCACTACCGGTGAGGGAGCTTGCGGACATCACAACCCTAGAGGGGAGGCGAGTATTGAAGGGTTTTTTCTTTGGGATTAAAGGAGGTAGGGCTGCAACCAACTAATCAATTAATCAATGATGAGCTTTCAACTATTCTCATCGATTAGTTGGTTGGATACCCTAGCTTTCTCATCCTGGGAGGGAGGGCACAGCAAGCATTGGGCAGTTGCAATAGCCACACTGCTATTGGCTATTGCAATTTGAAATAGCCAATAGCAGGCTGGCTATTGCGTCAGCCAATCTGCCGTATTTACATTTAGCTGCTGTCTGCGGAATCTTGCCACTGGCCGCTGTCATTCCCTGGCTGAAGCTATTCAAGCGCCATGTGCTTACAATACAATTATTTTAAAGAAAGGATAAAAGGTGGGGAAAAAGTCGGGAAAAAAGTCATTTTTGGTTTCGGCCTGACAAATTGTACTGCTGAAGGTAGTGTAAAACTGCTGGGGTGCCAGTTCGTTTTAATGGCACCCCAAACGTGCATCCCACCCACCATGTGATTGCCCGCACTGGAACACGTGGTACTGCAATGCTGTGCGTTCCAGTGCAGTGCAATTGCATACAATTGCGCATGCAGTCTTATTCTGAAGTAAACTTAACACTACATTTGTGTATTTTATTTTAAATTAAGGATGGTATTTATCTCGATCTATTTTTATCGATTTTTTATCGATTCATGAAAATAATCATTAGTTGCAGCCCTAAAAGTAGGTATGTCATATTAACCTCCTTGGAGGTATTCCGAGTGTGGCTCGGGGTTAATTTTCATTACCAAAAGCGATAACCCCGAGGCACACTCGGGATTACACAGCGCCACACTTACCTTGTCCACGATCCCCGCTGTGTCCTCCGGCCGATGCCGGCATCCGTCTTCCGGTTCCGTCCCTTGCAAGCGTACGCGTCGCAAGGGGGCGGAACTGGCGGCAAATTTAAATTCAAAAATGAAAAAATCAGACCGCCAGGGAGGTTAAATAGTGGTGTACTTTCTCTAACATTTACAGTTCAATTCAGGCTGGATAGTATAGCTCACCAATCACAATATACAAAGCAGACAGGGAGAGCAGGGTGGATGAAAGACGCTGCGGCTTTTCTGTAGGTGTAGCTGCAGCGGGCAACAAGTGCAGCATGAACTATACTATCTGACCTGAATTGAACTGTAAATATAGCAGAGAAAGTACAGCACTACTTAAAGTGATATACATTCCTTAAATCTTGTTTTTACACAGCAAATTTCAAAATAAAAACTTTTTCTTGGAGTTCTACTTTAAGCTATTTCATGACTGAGCTAGTTTTCAGTTTCTGTTCATAAATGACTGACAAGCTTTCTTCATTTTTGCTGTGTGATTCTTCCACAGCAGTAATATACTTTCTTACTAAATGTACCCACACATATTATATATTGTTTTTTAGAGGACAGATAGGGTTATATAATTATATCAAACATGTACCTAACGCCTCACTTTGAATCAAATATAAAAAATTAGGAAAAGAAAGAAAACACTTTTTTCACAGGTTTTGTTTATTATTTTTGAAATTTTTTATAATAATTATAGTATAAAAATATATTTATATATAATTTTTATTTTCCTAATTTTGTTTTACACTTTATTTTTTTATACTTTGTAAAAAAAATAGTAAAAAAACAAACTTTTCAGTTTATATCAAGCAGTCACTATGACTGCTTGATAAATTTACTTTTTTAAATTTTTTTTGGCTATTATTAGGTTGCTCCAACCTAGGAACAGCTAATAATAACCATATAGACTGATCCTGACAGCATGTCAGATTCAGATCTCACTAAAGCTCTTTGATCGTGCCTAGACGATCAGAAATGACACATTAAGCAGAGATACATTGTATCTCTTGTATCTCTTTGCTTGAGATGTATCACATAGTTTCATAAATAAGCAAAAATAAAATAGCAGGGAGGTGAGTCACTCTGCTGCCTCCCTGCTATTTTCAGCTGTCAAATACTGGAGCGCTAGCGCTCCCGTATTTGCATGTAACGGCTTCATTCTTTAATTAATGAAAGAAATACGCTTTTACAAAAGCTTAACTATATCATCAATGAATGCCTCAATACTGAAGCATTCATTAATGACTGGTAACCGCTGAGAATCAGCAGTTACCGGCATTACAGAGAATATATTTATATATAATTTTTATTTTCCTAATTTTGTTTTACACTTTATTTTTTTATACTTTGTAAAAAAAATAGTAAAAAAACAAACTTTTCAGTTTATATCAAGCAGTCACTATGACTGCTTGATAAATTTACTTTTTTAAATTTTTTTTGGCTATTATTAGGTTGCTCCAACCTAGGAACAGCTAATAATAACCATATAGACTGATCCTGACAGCATGTCAGATTCAGATCTCACTAAAGCTCTTTGATCGTGCCTAGACGATCAGAAATGACACATTAAGCAGAGATACATTGTATCTCTTGTATCTCTTTGCTTGAGATGTATCACATAGTTTCATAAACATCCGGCCAGTCTATGGAGCTGTCAAAACAAATAGCAGGGAGGTGAGTCACTCTGCTGCCTCCCTGCTATTTTCAGCTGTCAAATACCGGAGCGCTAGCGCTCCCGTATTTGCATGTAACGGCTTCATTCTTTAATTAATGAAAGAAATACGCTTTTACAAAAGCTTAACTATATCATCAATGAATGCCTCAATACTGAAGCATTCATTAATGACTGGTAACCGCTGAGAATCAGCAGTTACCGGCATTACAGAGCCTGATATAACTCATCATGTACAGTGTACGTGGCCAGTCATATAGGCACAAAGTGCAGGGATGTACAGTGTACGTCGCCCGTCACGAAGGGGTTAATACAGTATGTAATAGTTTTAATGGCTGTTTACATTATTGCAATCTATATGTTTGTTCATTACATGATTATATCTTAATTTTTCCATATCATATTATAGGTATGCAGAGGATTGGCCAAACAAACTGAACTAAATGACTTTCTACTAGATGTATCCAAGTAAGCACATAAATAGACAATCTCTTCAAACATATACATTACTACTACATGTTGGATCTTACTGTACTTGATGCCCTAAGTATTGGTAATGAAAACATAAGATCAGTTAACAGAATATTTAACACGCACATTCCATTTCCCTAAAACACGTGTCCTGGTTTCTCATAATAAAAATAGTGTCCATTCCCATCTAATGTTTTTAAAAATTGACCGGTTTCAACTTTTTTTCTGTTTGTGCGTTGGAGGGCCCACAGACGTCAATGACAACATATTTAAATGCATATAGCATGCATTTTGATGCGTTGGCAACGGGTATTATCAAGCCATGGTCAATGGCTGTCAACCCATTACACTACAAATTCTAAATTCAAAAGTGTGTTAAAAACTTGTTTCAAAATGCATGTCAGTGCAAGAGGAAATGCATAATGAGATATGACGGCGCACCTGCCTAATGCTACAAAAAAAGTACCTCTGCGTGCACACATATATTCTAGTTAACTGTATATTCTCTTTTTACTATTAATATTATTTATGAATATAATACATTTAGCTTCTGTCTGCAGAATCTTGTGTTTTATAATGTGTAGTATTTTGTAAATAAACTGATTCTGTACATATGCAGTTCTCATCCAGGCTATCCTGAATACTCTTTTTCTAAGATGTGCATGCAGCACCTGCATGTAAAGTAATGCAGATAAGAATTCAGCAACTTTTGCAAGCTCAAGCAGAAGACTGCAATAAAGAACACTTTATCTTAAAAAGCATAAATTGAAAGAGCTCTTTTTCAATTGCAAGCCACAATCACCAAAAATATTTTAAAAGATTATAGTATAAGGTAGTGTAAACAACAATTAGGAACCTAACAGGTATAGCATATATTGCATTAATTAGATGGATGTTTAATAAATGGATAATGAGCAAAAACCAATCTGTAGCTTAAACTCACACCTGCAAAAACTTGTTTTGGCTCTGGTGGGAAGGGATACAACCTCTCAGGTTTATTTTCCTGAGTCTCCATTGGTGTTTTTTTTTTCCTTATACTTGGAGGAGGAATGCACACTTCGGAGAGATACAGACATCAGTAAAAGACTGACAGAGGTCCTAAACCCTTCCCACGCTGTTAAAGTGACACTAAACTCGAGTTAAATCTTCAAAATGCATTCAAGTACCCCATCTATTAAAAAAAAAAAGTTCAGGTTATTGGTGCATCACTGTATATCTAAAATCATCTCTGAATTGGTGCTGACACTCCTTCCTTCTGTAGCTTGGCTGCTTTTGTTCCCCATGGTCCCTATGTGTGTTGTAAAGTAGCCACCGCTCCAAGCTCGCTCCTAGAGCTGCAGCTAACTGTTATTTTCAAAATCGATTAGTTAGCCGATTATTAAGTTCGGTTAATCGGATATAAAATACATTTTAAAAAATGGCTCCAGTGATGGACTACTAGTTTTGTATTGAGATTGTAGTCCATCACAGGAGCAAGCTTGGAGCGGTGGAAGTAAAAATGAAAAAAAAAGTGTGGTGTGCAATATAGTTACATAGGTACATAGTATTTGAGGTTGAATAAAGACATTAGTCCATCAAGTTCAACCTATTAGGACCTCACTCTAGGAGTACCTGTACCCCTGTATATTGCGGTCCCTTAAGAAATCGTCCAAAAGTTTCTTGAACAATTCCACATTATTTGCTGAAATCACCGCCTGTGGCAGTGAGTTCCAGACCCTAACTGATCTTACTGTGAAGAACCCCCTTCGCCCCTTGTGCTGGAATTTTTTTCCCACCAATTTTAGATGGTGGCCTCTAGTTTTTGTAATGGAGTTAATTTTAAACAGTTTATCGCTAATGTTGCTACCACCATTGAACATTTTGTACATGGAAATCATATCCCCC